CGCCTAGAAATTCTGTCCATAAAAGTTATGAACAGAATCGGTGACAAAGGGCAACCTTGGCGGAGTCCAACTCTCACTGGGAACAAGCCCGACTTACTGCCGGCGATGCGGTCATACAGGGACCTAACAGCCCGTATCAAAGGATACCCCATACTCCCAGAGTACCCCCCACAGGGTTCCCCGAGGGACGTGGTCGAACGCCTTTTCCAAGTTCCAAGCAAGTTATGTATTTAGTTTGTAAACTAAATACTTAGCTTGTAAATTAAAAATTTAATTTGGAACTATGACATTTATAAATGTATGAATAACATGGAGAAAATATGACTTTGAAAATTTTTTTTTTATGAAAGGCTAAATAAACCAAAATATTGCAATTTTTGACTGTGTAACTTTACAAACGGCACCCCATAGCTGAACATGTGTAATGCTTAAATATATTCATAATTTCAGAACATGAGCTAAAATGTGCAAATATCTAAATTGGTACATTTTGGTTATGCCTTCATTGCTTTTGCAGAATTTACTCTAAAGAAATTAACTTTTGTCTAACATCTTCTCATTATTTTTAGCTGGATTTTTTACAATGGGATCAAAGGTCATAAACAAAAGATGAATTGCAGTAGTTATTAAATGACTTATTCTACTTTCGGTATTAACTGTAACGTGCAAACCTTGCATTTGAGTGTAAATGCAATTTCAGGTAAACAACAGTCAAAGCACATTGTCTTAAAATGATGAAAAGGTTTGAAGTGACACAAAACAAAGATTGTGGCCAAGTAGCATCAAAACGGATTTTGAATTGCTGCAAGACCTTTCACAAAAACAAACAAACGTAAAAAGATTTAAAAAAAATATTTAGATACTGGTACTTAAAACTACTTTGATTTATGTTTTTATTCTGAAATCGATCTTTAATCAAATCGAAACAGCAACATAAAAAACCTTAAATGATTTTTATGAAAGACTTGAATCAGAGTGACTTTTCTGGGATGTTGGTAAAATGGTGCCGCCTCTCCATCGAGTCCTCGCCCTAACGAGTTAATCAGCTTTCATCACTTGGCTCTGCAGAAGTTTTATGTATTTAAATAAATGTTCCCCTCCTCACTGTTTGCTTAAAGGGAATCATTTCTTTTTTGTTAAGTATCTTGGAAGGATTTTCGCTATGATTTAGCACCAATATTGTAATTTTTTTTGCATTCATTCAACCTTTATTCATACAGGTCAGTCTCATTGAACCCCGAGAACTCATTTTCAAGAGAAACCTGTTTTAGATTAGAATTACATTAGAATGGTTCCGCTCGTACCTGAGTGACAGTAGTTTCTGTGTTAAGGTTGGTAATAATGTATCTACTTCACTGCCTCTTTCCTGCGGGGTCCCACAGGGCTCGATTCTTGGACCCCTTCTGTTAAGCCCTTCTGTAATAAAATTGTTTGTCGGGGTTGAAGTTTCTGATCAAACCAACAACAAACAGATTTCACATCAGTCATCCTTAATTTGTTTTATTCATTTGTTAGTTTGGTGGTATGAAGTGGAGAAAAGAAGACTTCTTTCAGACACTTTAAAATAAATCAACTCTTCATGGCACAAATTTCACATCACGTTGAAAACCAGTCAAATTCTGCTCAACCTCACAGTTTTTGCTTCTTTTTTTTTTTCATTTATTGTGCAACTTCTAAATAATCTGTGTTAGACTCAGATGAGGCCAGTTTAGCTCTGCAACAGGAAATTTATGGAAGTTTTCCAATAAAACCTGTGATGTTAAATAAATGGCTGCTTGTTATCAAATGGTCAAAATCTGCAGCACCATTCCTGCTCATATACGTTCAGGAAAAACTGAATCTGCATGGTGTTAATAATTCATTTGCATGCCAGATAACTTCAAAAGTATAAAAAACTAAAATAAATTTCTTCACAAGCATATCTCACAGAACTTTCGTGACTTTCTTCCTTTTTCTATGATCCTCAGCCGATAAGTTGAGCTTTGATCTACTCAATAAACTTAACAGTGGTTAATGAGATGTCTCACTATATGCAGGGGGTCATGTTAATAATCCTATATCATCCTGAGTGGAATACTAATCAAGAGGAATCTGGAAATGTTGCTTTATTTCAGAGGCTCTGCAATGGGGGGTCTCCTGAGAGGCTGAATCACGCATGGACAGCAAAAACACAACTCCAGTGAGCTGAACAATGACACATAAAGTATCATCTTACACATCCCAACACTGCTCTGACTAAAGCCCAGGACAGCAAGATGATTGAGTAACAACTTACCATTAAACTCCTCCCATCCAATCCTTCATCTAACTATGATGTGCGTGTGTCACGTTTGTCCCTCAGCACACATTGACTCAACCACATTACTGCATCCCCACTGGATCTCTCTAAACAAGACAGATATGAAGGCTATGGCATCGTGCTCGCTGCATTTATCACTGTTAATTTCAGATGAAATCATCCTCAATGTTTCCTCAAGCGTGGAAATAGCTGAAAATCCCACACGGACGCTGCTTTTTCCATTACAATGTATGCAGAGGTACTTGTTTACTGTACAAGCAGTGAGTCCCAAGATTTGTTTTCACAGAGCAGAACAAGCCGTCTCAATTTTTACACCGTATTTTATTTGACAATATAGATTTTGCTCTTCAGAGTACAATCAATACAAGCTACATATGACAAAATATATTTTTAAATAGGAGGAAAAATAACCATTAAGGCATCTGAGAGAAGAATCAGTCTTGACAGCATAAATGACAAGAATAGTGTTTCTTTTTTCGCCCCAACCTTTAAGGCACTATGGCATAAATCGCTACTGAAAACACACAAAAGAGGTTTAGGCAAAGCTGAGCTATTTTCTGTGCTTACAAAGTGGTGACAGCACGGTCAGTGCCGTGAATCAGTGCACAGTGTGCAGTGTTTCAGCAACAAGCCAGAGCAGACGAATGGAGTCAGGAGAGGCAGAGCGGGCTGTGAAAGCAGATTTCCCACTCTGCCCAGCGTCTGGTGGCGTTGTATTAACACTTTAATAATCCCTTGTGTCGCACATGAACCAGCTACGAGGTTAAACGCCGCAATTATCTTTATCACGCAAACCAGCCTGGTGCCAGTGTGACTTCTTGACTGGGACCCACACGAGAGAGTCCCGCTGAGCAGCTGTGGCACCGGCGAGCGGTCCAACTTGCCAAGGAGGGTTTTTATGAAAGCTGTCATTTCCTGCACGAGTTCTCGAGTTTACAGATCTCCGTTGTTGCCTCTGTGACGGAAGGCTGCTGGGATGGCATCACAGAAACACATAAACTGCTCAACCTCATCCATCAAAGCCAAGGCAGAGAACAAGCTCCTTCTCACTCTTTCCTTCCCCCCACTCTGTGATTCACACGTACATTTGCTTGCATGCATAAACACACAATCATACCAACACACACACACACACAGACTTTTTTTTACCTAGGTATTTACATGACATTACTCCTGTGAGCTTCAGGCCTGTCGTAACACAAAGTTAAGCACTCGTTCAGCTCACAGGCTAATTACCTTCCTTTACACTTTTGAACTGTTCCTGGAATTCTCTGGAAATTATTAGTCATGAGGAAAACTATACAGAAACTTGCACAAATAGTGTGGCTCCGTAGCCCCAACCCCAAACATTTATCAACAGAAAGCAGTGATTTTAAAACAGTTTTTAAAAAAAAATCCTTGCATAGAAAGCTGCTCATGCTGCCCATTTGTTTAGTTAATTTGAGTAAAATCCTCTTCCTTCCCAACAAATGATGAAAAAACTGAGATTAAAATAAAAAAAACAGTAGATGAGTCCCACCACGCATCTTATTTTAAATGCTATTGTCACATGGAAACTTGTGACAACTATAATGGTTTTAACTTGAATCATCTACTTTCAGAGACTTTAAAAAAATAACTTGGAGGATAAAAAAAAGAAAAAAAAAATCTCTTTTGCTTGAATTTAAAGAAGTTCCTTGATAGAAATTGTCATATATTGCAGCACGGTGCGCTTTGCTGTGAGCAAGAGCGTGAAAACTGCTTTGCGGATGTTTGAATCTGAGGCAGCCAATGTTATATGAGAGTGAAAACGTGAAGTATGTTATGCTGATGCAGGCATTTGCTATGTTTGACTCTTGCGGGCTGCCGGGACTTGTGCTGCTCAGAAAGGAAAAGCCCCCACAACGATGGTGAGCCGCAGCAGCGAGCTGGTGCGGTAGTTCATGGTTAGATGGAGAGTGACCATCTCCAGGTCCACGATGTACTCCCTGGGTCCTGGCAGAGGCTTGGTAAGCACCAGCATGGCACTCACATTGTTGGAACGCTGCAAAAAACACAACAAACTTTACATTTAACTACAATAAATCTAAAACTAACAAGTAGATTTGCACAAAAAAATAAATCAGACTTCTACATGTTCTATGCAGGTTAGTTTTCCAAATGGGCAACAATTGCTCAAAAAGTTGTAACTTAAAAGGATTTATTTCTAATTTAGGCTTTTCTTTTTATACCAAGATCTATAATTGCCGTTTTTTTCATGGAGCCTCAAAACAAAGGATAAGTACCGTATTTTCCAGACTGTAAGTCACTGTTTTTTTCATCGTTTGGCCAGTCCTGCGACGTATAGTCCGAATCAACTTATATACGTTTTTTTTTTTCTATTCATGACACAATTTTTGATTGACGCTGTTTTGACCATTAAAGTGCATTTATTAAGGAAAAATTAAACTGAGACACAGTTGCTATAATGTCGAGCAAACAAATAATTGTTTTTAGGTGTTAATCTATTTTGAAGAAATGCAACAATGGGTCCTCCCGTGCACGCTCCCGTAGCCGCCAATCTATTTTGGGCCGCCAATCTTCAACAATGGCCCACGTTTCCCGGGGGTCAGCAGTGACTTATATATGTTTGTTTCCAATTCATGAGGCATTTTTTGACTGATGCCACCTTTACTCTGGAGCGACACATAGTGCAGAAAATACGGTAGTTTTCTTGCTGTCTAACATGGGACCGTTATAAAGTATCCAAGCAGAAAAGATTAAATTGTTCTTGTCACACAAAATGTGGCTCAGGCAGTGTTAAGCCTGGCTGGCAAGTTTTAAGGGTATTAAAACACTAGAGTAGCAACTATGCATTTTCAAAATTAAATTGTTTAACTGGCCTAAATCACATTCTAATCATTACTTGTTTTAAAATCATTGTTTTAAATGTGTGTTTATAATTATTTTCTGCTTTTTAATCGGTTTTGTTACTTTCAACTGTATGAAAAGACGAATAAAATCTAATAAACTGATTAGCAACGTATTGAGAAAATGCTTCTTTTTTTTTTACCTCTGAATAAACAAATAAACTGACTCTCATTACCAAATTCATTAAAAAATGTTCAGTGCGTCTGTATCGTAATTAATGAGCGTTCACTATTTTATGCCAAATTGGCTGCTGCGGCTAATGAGCATGAAAATCATTTATTAGAAGATGGTGAAAATTATAAAAACGTTACCCATTAAAACGTTTTTTTTTTTCATAGATTAAATATATGTGATTTTCATTCCATCAGCTTACCCGAAGAAAGAATTCTCCTCCTTCGTTCCCTGCTTTAATCATGAAGTTGTTGTGCGTGTTGGCGAACACGGAGGTGGCCTGAATCTGGAATACGTCGGCCGGCACGGTTCGGTCCGCCTGGATGCTCATGTATTTGTAGACTATTGATGGTGGGAGACCCTGGCACTCGGTTTGAGATCGACAGATGCAGCGACTGTAAACACGCAACAGTTAGGACAAACTTTGGGAAATGACAGGAAGTAAAAATAAAATGAGGACCGGTGACGGCTTACTGACTTTTCAGCGGTCTGGGTGTAAGGAGGCTCACACGGGTTTCTGGGGTAACAGCGGAAGCCTCCGTAATAGTTCCAACACATTTCATCATCTTGGCAGTCCTGGGTCCCCATCTCACACTCATTTATGTCTAGTGATTTGGAAAATAATGCACAAATGACAACAGGGTAACAATTCACATGGAGATTTCATGTGCTTTATGAAATAAAAACGTGTAAACTCAATCAGAATTGAGCTTGTAATTCAGAGAGTGGGACTATTTTCAGTGTTATTGGAGGTGAGGGAAGCTTGCATGTCTGAATTCAAGGGAAGCCCCTGAAGCAACCACACACAGGCAGGACTCCAGCGTTTTCTCCCGTGAAAATACCCCCATCAAACGTGCCCCAAACCACAACGTTATTTCTGGCACAGCAACTTGGATTCATCACCAGAATGTCCCTCTGACCCAACAGGCTGGATTCATCACGCCCCTATAAAGCCCACACCTGACTGAGAGGGGGGGAAACATAACAGCTCTCCCTTTGAGAGTTCAAATAAATCCACTTCAAGGAACCAGCATCAGGCCCATAAACTCAAAGAAGTGGCTTTGCAGGGAAACACAAAGTTGCTCTGCTTGCGTTGCCCAATACCTGCATTTTTATCCTGCTGGTTGAGAGCAGCTTTTCGTTCTGCTCCAGGAGTAAAGCAGTGGGCGATATCAGGGATCTTAAATGATTTTATTAGGAGGAAGGAAGACAGATAAATAAATAAAGTAAGAGGGGAAAGAAAACTAAAATGATTTGTGGAAGGAAAGTAGACTGCGGTACCTTGACACATCCTGCTTCCTTGCAGCTGGTATCCTTGTGGACACTCGCAGGCGTAACTCCCAGGGTTGTTAACACACTGATACTGACACATGTAGCTGGACAAGCTGCATTCATCGATGTCTGAGTAACATACACAAAACCAGATTATAGTATGTGCTGGGACACTTGAACACCTATGAGAACACATTTATCTGAGTTTTTAGGTTTTCGTGTTCACCTTCGCAGGACACCGTGTCTGCCGCCAACTCAAAGCCGTGGTCACACTGACACAGAAAGGAGCCAATCAGGTTGTAGCAATGATGCTGACAAGGGCTCTCCACCTCACACTCATTGACATCTGGAACAGAAGCAGATGTTGACGTGATGAGCATAAAAAGCAGGTGAACTTCATTTTGTGCCTGATGAAAGGTTCAGTGTGTTTTTGACAGCACATCTATACAACAATCTTGAAACAGGGTTACATACCTGATAATTAGTCTATGAGAGGTGAGAGCTATGATTTGTTTGGATTTGTGATTATAAATTAATCTATGTATATATAAATATATCGTTAATTCCACACAATTCCATTAGCTTGTGTGTATTTCTTTGTGATACCCTCCGTTTAGGTTTGAAACTTGGAGGTCAGCACACCACAAGCAATAGATTCCAAACAGTTTCACACATTCAACCTGAACACACACATAGAAAGATTTCTAAATGTGCTCCTGGGTAGAGCTGTTATTTCAAACCCGGGTCCAAAGCCCGAAACCCGGCACGGCACAGCCCGACCCAAATTTGGGCTGGGCCGGGCCATTATAATGTGCTGGATGGGCGAGCTGGGTTGGTGTCGGGCTTTTGATTGCGTCAGTGAATCAGTCGTGATCCAATTATATGGCAACATGACTTGCCATACTTTCCAATTATATGGAAACTCAGCTTGCCATACTTTTTAATTATATGGCTACATGGCTTGCCATACAATAACCAGCCACACATGGCCATTTGACCAGCCTTAAAAGAGATAAAATAAAGTTCAGTTGAGCTTCAGATGGGACTATACGTCCAGGAAGCAATCCATCACCCAAATGGATGTTCATTCAGCCACTGCATTCAGCAGGCGCGTGTGGCCGACGACCCAAACAGGTGAGATCCCAAAGCAGACATGTCAGAGCAGGGTCTGTGTCTGAATAATGCAGAACGCAGGCAGAAGCAGGGATTTAATGCACTTTGATGGCCATGAAAGGACAAACACCCCCTCAGCTCCGATCTTCTGCCCCCTTATTCAGCCATGCGTGTCCACCAACTGTTAATAACTATATAAGCAGTCAAAGCTTGATTAAAAATGTCGGGGGTGGGGGGTTTTGGTTTCGGCTTCGTAATTACTCGTAATAACTCGTAATTCATCGGGTCGGGTAGAGTTTGGAAATAATGGCTATGGGTTGGGGCCGGGTCAGGTCGGATTTAAGGACCGAGATGGGGTAGAGGCAGGGCAGCCGACTCGGGACCCAAAAGTCACAGGCTCGATCCCCAGTCATTGCACATCTCGTGGTGTCTCTGAGTAACACACCCTATCCCCAATTGCTCCCCAAACAGTTTTCAATAGCTGCCCACTGCTCCACCTGGGAGTGGATGGGTTAAATGCAGAGAGCCAATTTCACCATTGTATGGGAACATACAATGGTGACAACACATAACCCATTGTTATCATTATTATTACAGTATTATTATTTTTTTGGGCCCGAATGCAACTCTTCTCCTGAGGTAAAGCGCTCTCTACCACTCTCTGAGCTCAAGCTGGAGGATCGTTCAAATAGTTCAGACTTTCCTGCTATTAGGTGGATATGGAGCAAAGGTGCCAGGTAAACCACAAAGAAATAACAAAACATTAATAAAATGTTAATGGCAGCAAGAACAACTGACTATATAAAATTAGACTTTTCAGCAACTTAAACTGCACTAATGTGATTTGTGTACAAACACCTACACTTATTCAGAAACGTCTTTACTAATTTTTAGTTTAGCATCTTTGCCAAGTAGAAAGACTTTGTGTTACATATTTTTGTTTGAATTTTAATTAATGATTGCAAACTTAAGGTTTGTATAAGCTATGAGTACACAGGCTTTATTTGTGACTTACCAGCACAGGTGTGGTTGTCTTGAGACAAACTGTAACCCGTGCTGCACTCGCAGTAGTAAGAGCCCCGGGTATTCACACATCTATGCATGCAGTAGTGACTCAGGCCACACTCGTCTCTGTCTGCAGGAAAAGTTCATCACAAAAAGACAAATTTTATTTACCCTGACCAGTGGGAAATAACCTGAGAACAGAGCCTGTTTGGTATCGCACTCACCAATACAACGGTCTCCGTTTTTCTGGAAGCCGAGAGGACACTGGCACATGTAGGAGCCTCTGGTGTTAAAGCACGTCTGTTCAGGCCCACAAGTGTGTCTGCTTGTTGCACATTCATCTACGTCTGCAATAAACACACACACACACAGATGGTGAGAGGGCACTGTGCACAGTTGATACCTGCTGTACGCAAGAAAACATGAGCACACCGCAAACCAGCCGCGACTACAAGCACTTGGTGAAGTGTGTGAAGTGTTTTCCACAGCGAGTTAAATCCACATTAAACACACGTTGGCATAAACACGCATGTTAACACGGAGCGCAGACGTTTAAATAACGAGAGCTTCTATTCAGCAGCTGGGGGTGAAGAAAAAAACAGATTATATCTTCTACAAACAAAACAGCTTCTTGTAGGGGGACGTACGCACCTACATGTTTTTAAGAGAGGACAAAACAGCTTCTTTGTGCTTTTTAAATCAACTCCAATACAAGCAAAAAAAAAAAAAACACTTTCTAATGCAACAAAGTGCAAAATATACAGGTTTTAGAACAATGCATGCTCCTGTCCAGACAATCTTTTTATACAACGTTTTCAGGGAAGGATTTGCATATTTCATCAAGACAAACTGTAATCTGCTGCGACAGCTTCATCGTGAAAGTGTTCAGGTACTCATTTTTACTATGTAGTGATGCAATTTTTTGTTCCAGCTTGATTTGTTTACGGCGTTCTGTTGTAAATAAAATATGGATTAATGACATGAGATGCAATAAATGCATTCTGTTTTATTTTTTGTTTACAGTTTACTAGGGATGCACGATATTGGATTTTTGGCTGATATCCGATATGCCGATATGTTCAAACTTATTTGGCCGATAACCAATACCAATACTAATCTTTTTTTTTCCTTGACCTACTTACAGAGACTACACAGCTTTCTCTGCTGTGGAATTAAAATACTACATTATTCTGCATGGTCTTTGTCAATTTGGCCTGCTACCAAATGCAGATGCCAAAAGGGGGGCTGAAAATGATGCAACACTTCAACTTGGGTTATGTTTAATGTCAAATTTATTCATGACATTTACTCTCTCTAACGGAGTGACAACACTTGAACAGTGTAAATTTGTACATGTTCACAAATCTAAATACAACGTTATGTCACAACGTTGTGCTGGCGCTGCAGGCATCCTTGTCACTGGGTTGTCATACAAAAACAGAATAGAATGATCGATGTCCAATATTTAACTTTATTAGTAATATCATCCGATACCGATACCATGCCAATAATATTGTGCATCCCTATATTTTACACAATGTCCCAACTTTTTCTGAATTGGAGTTTTTATGTAACAGTAGTTCAATTTAGATTTTTTATTTTTCCTTTCGGCTGCTCCCTTCTTCAGGGGTCGCAACAGCGAACTAAGTCACACAAAGACTTGGCAATTGTTTTTATGCCGGATGCCCTTCCTGATGCAACCACAGACCACCGAGCTCCCTCTGTGTGGAGCAAAGAGGGGCCATCTAGGGCGCCCAGGGAGAAGATGGTGGTTGTTAAGGGTCTTGCTCAAGGGTAGAGTGGGGCAAATGAGGGTGGAATCAGGTGTGGGTGCTTCACCTGTCCCACCCACATTTTGATGTTGTTGGTACCGGGAGTTGAACCGGCAATCTTCCGATCACAGGCCCACCTTGTCTACCCTCTCCTCCACCATTAGTTTGATGTGAGAATAAAAACCTTTTCAAAAGAAAGCAATAAAACCAGTTCCTTTTGAAGTGCAAACCAGAAAGCAACACCTTGAAGTTCAAGGACATCTTAAGGGTCTCGGACGACTGTCATCAAGGAAGAGGGCCGGCAATGGAGGAGGGGGAGTACCAAAGAGACCATCCTAGCACCAACAAAACTGGTTTGTTCCACTTTGGAGTAAGCTGTTGGGGGAAGAATCAGTTTTGTTTGTTTGTTTCCTTGACTGACGAAGCCTTCTGGATCGAAGGCGAAACGTTTCAGCACAAAAAAAGAAACTGTCCAGATGACCTGACTGAAAAATTTTGGATCATATACCTGGATTATTGAGCATGGACTTTGTTGTTAGTTAAACCCCCAACACTCGACACATGAGAGTTGTTCCGGTAAACATGATCTCATTTCTGGTCTGTTCAGGGCTCCTTGATAATAAAAAAAAAATCTTTCTCACCACAGACATAAATTTGCCAATAGTATACACCGTCATCCACCGAGGCCCACCGGCAGTCCTCCTGGGTGGTCTAACGCAACTCATATGCAGACAGCTACTGGGCATCAGCTTAACAAAATGACAGACAGTTATCCTCAGTACCACACACACAGCAAGGAAGCTACTATTACTGCTTGCTGTTTGGCACATACGTAGCCTAACATAATTCACATGGATCTGACTAGAAACATTTTTGCAGTTTTTTCCCTGCAATGTTTAGATGCAAAGAAAAACACAAATACAACTGAGATTAAATCAAACTGATAAATCAACACCAGAGACCCAAATTGCTGCTGGATTAAATCTGATTCGTTCCCAAGACATGTTTTATGTTCTGTGCACTCAGAAGAAAAGTTTAGGTCCCACAAAGTCCACCACTGACCTGTCAGCCAGACACTGGTTGGATTTGTCATGCAAGGCCCAGGAAACAAAAAAGGCAGAGAAAAGATAAAATATTCTCAGTCCTTAAAGAGAAAACAATTGAAATGTGTTGGATTCAATGGGGGCAAAGTGACGGGATGGATTTCGGGACAAAAGCCTGCCCTATCTAGACGTGCACCTCTGAGACAACAGGTGCAAATTGAACAAAGGGAGGAATGCTCGTTGCTCACTGACCCGCTTAGTGAAAGGACAAAGATAAAAGCCATTTTGTTCGGGAAAAAACTGTGTTCTGATGTGGCTTCAGAGGAATCTGGGATGGTGAATTCTTAAGCAGCATGAGGCGGTGAGAAAATGAGTTCTTGTATTTCAGCAGCACCACGGTTTGGGACACAGTTTCACTTCTATTAGCTCAGAGGGCTCCATGACAAGTCTAACTGTGGGTCCAGACCGAGTCAGATAAATGATGTAATTTTTAACAATAGGTTTCATATCCACTGCTATTTATGGCTTGCTTCTGAAAGGCGAAGGCGGTCGATAATGTCTGTTTGTGTGTCGGAAAGTATTAATTGGATTTACATTTATAAACGACTAACATTCGGAGTCAACTCGATTCGCATTCAAAACCACATCAATTGCTTATTGAGCTAAAAACTGCTGTGGTAGTAGCTGAGAGTCATTCAGAACATGTACTCTGAATGGGACATTTCACAATATGCATGCATGTGATCACGCATGCCATTGTTTTCATGGTTTGACCAGAACAGCAGCAACGCTATCATTTCTTGGCATTAAATTATCTGTATTTAAAACTCTGACATGAAAGGCAGCAGGTGATGTGAATTCCTTAAAGGAATCCCAAGCCTTTCATTAAGATACATTTTATTTAATGATCATATTTGTTGTTTGTTACCTCGTTTGCATCTATAACATTAACACAATGAGACATTTGTGCTAAGCTAAACATTTTAAATGGCGACGTTTAAACTTGCAGTAAAGCGGAATCTTAAGTCTGTAATAATTTGCTGTTGAAAGTGGCTACACAAATTAAAAAGGTTGAAAAAAACAGGCTGACTTTCTTGTCAGACAAATCCTGTAAACAAAACCCTGTATTTGTGGAGCGTAAACACAGCGTTTGAATAATTGTCAATTACTTGGACAAGAGGCAACAGACAGGATCAAGGCCCTGTGAGTCATGAACAAGTCGATTTACTGGAGGTATGTGATGATTCGTTTAGACTGGAAATGATTTGCCCTCTGGTATTATAATAAAATCAGTCAACAAAAGTCTGGATTCTGTTGAAATCCTACAGCTTTAGTGACGTCAATAATTTCTCAAATGTTATTTTAAATGTAAATCAGGATAAGTTTGCATGAAAACTTCTGGGTGTTCAAATGTCCAAATCCAAACAATTATTCTTCAACAACCCGTTAAATAAAGTTAAGTAAACTCATACTATTCATTGGTCATTGTATATTGGCCATATTCAAGGATTCAGTGATGTTTATTGTCATACCAGCTCACATTTGCATGTTTATGGTATGCAATTCGGACTCAGGTCCTAGATCAAGAAGCCTAACAATTAACAAATAAATGCAAAAGAGTATAAATATACACACACACACACACGCACGCACACACATGTGTGTAAATAAATAAAGTAGCAAAAGTAAGATGAGGCTGAATTAAGTGCAGAGTTCAGCACTGACAGCTGCGTTGAATGCTCCTCAGCCGCCTGCTTGAGGGAGGGGGGGGGGGGCGCTGGAACAGACTGTGTGCAGGATGAGTGGAGTCCTTCATGATGCGGAGCGCCTTCCCCCTGCAACGTGATGTGTAGAGGTCCGAGGTGGTAGGAAGGCTGCTCCCCAGTCGCATCCTCCCTCTGCCATGCCACAAGGCGATGCAGGTGCAGAGAACGCTCTCCACCACACAGAGATAGCTCCTCAGCACAGAGCTCGCAAGTCCAGCTCTCCACAGCTTCCTTCTTTCACAAACACATGGAGTCCCCCCAAACCACGAACCCACCCATGTTTTTCCTGATACAATGGTCACGATCTGCTCAGAATAACTGAAGACCGTTGATCTGGAAAGTTGAGTCCGGCATGTTCTTGTTAAACCAGGTTACCGTTAGCCAAAGAACAGCACACTTCTTCATCTCTGTAGAAACACTCATCCTCAGATGTAACAAGTCCACTTTGTTATCCAGTGAGCGTACATTGTCCAGAAAGAGAGTAGGAATCATTGGTTTTTCTAGCCTTTAGCTGGGCCAACGCACCTCCTCCTCTTGACTGTTGCTCCTCGCCCTCTGCTGCGCCATTCCGTTGTCTTCAGGAGCCGCTATCTGCCGAGTGCAGATTTCAGAACTCAGCCAAACTGTCTCTGATGGCCATCAGCTCGGCTGAGCTGTACCTGAGCCGCAAATCCAGCACTGAACCAGTGCCTAAAACAGCCTCATAGGAATTAAAATAAGGCTTAAACTCGGGAGCATGAGAAGCCGCTGTACTTTCTGTGCACCG